GGCTTTGACAAGCACTGTGGCATTTGGACAAGAACAAACTGGGAGGAGGGTAGAGAGAATAGTGCAACAATGAATGAGTGGAAGCCCAAAATCTCTGTAGATGTTTATGAAAATTAATAAACTATAATTATAGAAAAAAAAAACAAGTGTCTCTTACTCAGGATCTCATACATATTTCTTATGTATCTTGGATTTAAAGTCAACTCATAGCTGACCCTCTCCTGTGTTTTCAGAACTTTCTCCCAAAAAGTAACTGGAGGATACTATGCACTTTTGAAATAGTGATGAAACTTTACCATAAGAAGTACATGCATAGAGCGTCCCTTCCAACTAGGAGTTTTCATGAACTTAAGACTTTTTAAAGTAATCAGAAAACACATAAATGTACCCAAAATGCATTTATTGGAGCATTACTTTCAATTCTCAGGTCTTATTGTAATTTCTGTTAATTACTCAAACATCTGTGATATTGTACAACAATGTAACAAAGAGTTTTAAAAAAATGAAGAGGGGGTAGGGAAAAATGTACAATGAATGAATGAAAATCCAACATTTCTGTAAACTTTCTTTTTTTTTAGTTAAAATATGCAGCTTTATTAATAAGCTGTATTAACACATCACATTTCTCCCCCTGGGCTGAGGAGTTGAGGCTGGGGTACAGGTGAGGGTCACAGTCCTGGCACTGGGCTTGGGGACATGGATGGATCAGTTGACGTCCAGGCCTAGGCTGGGGTGTCAGGCAGGCCCCTCTCCACACACATGAGCGCGCGTGCACGCGAACACACACACCCCTCTCCCTACACTCCTGGTACATGTGTAGCTCTGGGTTCACAGGTGCTGTTTCTTCACTTCCCCTGGAAGCGGCTCCCACCTCTAGCTCATGGGTGCTTCGTCCAGCTCCTGGTGCCACTTCCGGCTCATGCATGCTGTTTCCAGTGCTGCAGTACCTCGGTGGGTGTGAATAGGAAATCCTTCCCCCAGGCCTCGCAGTGGTAGGGTCTCTGCAGGGCTGATGTCTTCTGGAGGGGTTCGGGGGCCGCTTCCTCAGCTCCCAGCTCCAGCTCCTGGGGGGCTGCCCTGAGGGGCCTTGGGGCAGGTGTTCTTGTGGGCTATTCGCTCCAGAGGCGTGAAGGGCATGTGCAGGCCGCAGTGGGGGCATGTCCAGAAGGTGCAAATACAGTCGCTGTACAGGTCCCTGTCACTCGCGAGGCAGTTGTAGGTGAGGAAGTCTGTGACCACGTAGCCCCCCTTGGTTGGATGAGGGGACAGGGTAGAGCTGCCAAAGAGGCCAGGGAGATTGGGGGCGGCTGTGATGGTCTGGGGTCCCACGAAGAGGTTCTGAACTTCCAGTCCTGTGAGTCTCCGGAGGCTGTAGGGAACCTTGGTTGCTGTGAACTGCAGCAGGTCCCTGCTCAGGGCTGCCACCTCCCGGAGGTCCACTGTGGGCGCCTCGTCCTCTTCCTCCAGGCGTTGCCGGGAGCAGTGGGCCAGCTGCCGGTCCAGGGCGCTCTCCCAGAGGGCCCGGAGCTGCAGGGATGCCGCCAGGAGCTGGACAGCACTCTCTGTGGCCGTCAGCTGGAGCTCCAGCCAGCAGTCAGCCACCAGGCGGAAGCAGTCACCATTGGTGTCCAGGGAGCGGCTGAACAGCAACAGGGATTGGAGGGCGGGCACGCGCATGCAGTTGACCAGGTACGGCTTGTTGGTCTCCAGCAGGGAGACGAAGGTGAGAAGCTGGTGTCGGCTGCTCACCTTGTCCTTGTCATCTTGGTTCCCATCGCCGGCCTTGCCCTCTGCGTCCTGGGTGTGCAGCACCTCAGGGCTGCTGGCGACGACACAGGTTGGGTGCAGCACAGTGCCTTGCTTGGTTCGTGTGTGGAATATCTGGTCCGAGTCCTTGCGGCCGCTGTTGAAGGGGTCGGGCACGGCCAGCTGTGGGTAGAGGCCGAGGCCCAGCACCAGCTTGAGCAGAGCCATCTGGTCTAGGGTCAGGTCCTGAGCAGAGCTGGCGGCCGCCTGCAGCTGCTCCAGGTTGTGCCGGAGCTTGAACTTCACGTCCTGGATGTCCACGTCATCAGGGGTGGCCCGGGTGGTGCCACGGTCCTCGTCGCTGGAGCCACCGTCCTGCTCCTCCTGCAGCCGCAGCACCTTGCACCTGCGGCCCCAGCTCTCCTCGTGCTGCCGCTTCAGCTGGTACAGGGCCTGGCGCTCCCTGCGCTGCTGCAGCCGGCTGTGGCTGTCCCCCGGCCCCGGGGCCTGAACCGAGGCCAGCAGTCCATGGTCCACCAGCAGGTCCTTGAACTGGCACCGGAGATTGGCTATCTCATACAGCCGATGCTCCTCGATGCCCCGGCGGCGGCACCACTTGCATGAGTTTCTGCTCCGCTCAGATTTCACCTGCACCCAGGCATTGAAGACGTTGAAGAGCGTGAAGGGGTCGCCCTGGTCACTCTCCAGGGGTCTCCGGGCGGCTGCACACTCAGGGCTGTTCTGGGCACTGCGTGTAAAGGGCGACTGGATGCTTAGGGCCCCGCGGCGATGGTGCGGACGGGCTTGGCCATGTGGAACACGGAGCCCAGGATCAGCATCTTCCTGATGACCACATCCACAGGCAGCTGGGCCAGCAGGGAGCCAATGGGCGTGAGGGCATCCTCACTGTCCAGGGCCCCCTGGTCCCGGAGGTAGAGGATCGCAGTTTCCAGGCTGGCTGGAGGTGGGGGCTCGATGAAGGGGAAGGTTCGGGGGTCCCCGACATCTATGCTCTTCATCTGCAGCACCAGTGCGTCCAGGGCCACTCTCCGGATTTCCGGGACGGGGTAGGGGGCAAAGGCATCGTGCGGCCGGCTCGGCCCTTGCGCTGCTCAGCGCTGGCCTGGCTGATCCAGAACTCCTGCAGCCGCTGCAGCTTGGCCTGCAGGTGGTGCAGCTCATCTCCTTCACCTTCCCAGAATCCACCATGAAGCGGATCCCATCGATGGTGACGGAGGTTTCAGTGACGTTGGTGGAGGGGGATGCACTTATGGACGCCAGGGGGCGCCACAACGAATACCTTGTCCTGGTCGACCACAGCGTGCTGTGCAGTGGCAGCACCACCCAGCGCTGCCTGTGGTTGGCGTAGGTCTGCGCGGCCTCCAGCACGATGCTGATTGATCTCGGCCATGCCGCTGACGAAGATGAGGAGGTCGCCCCGCTCCTCGGGCGGGTACTTGTCGATGGCCTCCATCACCCTCAGGAAAGGCCGGGGGTCCAGCTTCTCTGACTTGGCTGCGGCCGGCTCTGCTTCTAGGGGCTGGTAGATGACCGTGATCGGGAAGAGCCTGCAGGGCACCTGCACCACCGGGGCGCCCCTGAAGTAGTCGGAGAAGAGGGCGATGTTGATGGTGGCCAACCTGAGGACCAACCTTGAGGTCCGGCCGCCTTGGCAGCAGGCGCTGCAGCACGCCCAGGAGGAAGTCGTTGTGAAGGTGCCGCTCGTGGACCTCGTCCTGGTACTGGGGCAGGCTGGGGTCCCGCTGGATCTGCCTCAGGAGCAACCCCACTGTCAGGAACACGATCTTGGTGGCCGCCGATCGCGTGCTCTCGAAGCGGATCTGGTAGCCTCGACCTGCGAGCCATACTGACTGAGGCTCTCGAAGCCGATGCGCTTGGCCAGGGAGATGCGTGCAGGCCACGTGGCTGAAGCCGGCGGCCAGCAGGTGCTGGGGCACCTGAGTGGACTTCCCGCAGCCCGTGTCCCCTGCCACCACCACTACCTGGTGTTCCCTCAGCGTCTGCAGGATGCGCTTCCCGTACTGGGCAATGGGCAGCGCCACACGCTCCCGCTGCAGCTTGGCCAGGTGCCCGAAGGCCTGCTTCTGGCCAAAGTCCAGGTAGTGCAGCAGGGCCTGGCGGAACTCGGATACCTTCTCGGGGGGCACACGCTGGGCCAGCTCCCGGGAGCTGCGAGGGTCAGGGCCCAGCACCGAGAGGTTGATGCGTTAGCGGGCGTCATAGGTGCAAGGCAGGTCTACCAGCGCTGGGATGCTGTGCCTGGGGGGCCTGGGTCTCTCTCTTCCTCCTTCTGGGCTGTCCTGAGATTCTGGAACCTCTGCAGACGCTCAGAGAAGGCCCAGAACTTCTGGCACTCCTCGGAACCCGGGCGGAGTGAATCCTCGTCACCGAAGAAGGCATCCTCCAGGACACGGCGTGTTTCTGGACGGTTCCAGTCCCAAGGCTCCAGGCCCTCTTCCTCACGAGGTGCCCGGTGGTGATCTCGGGGACCTCGACCTTCCTTGGTTCTGGGCAGGGACATCTTACATAGCACTAGGCTGTCAGAGGTCCAGCCTAAGTTCTGATCGCCCGTTCTCGTCCGTTCCCCTGCTCTGAGCTGGCAGTGGGATGCTGCTTGCAGTCAGGGAACCGTATCCCTGCCGCCTGCAAACAGGGACCGTGTCCTCTTTAGAGATCCGAGTTCCTTCCTCATTGGGGGAGCGGAACCATTGGGCTTTGGCCGAGCTGATACACCTCTCCACCTCTGGAGCGACATTCTGGATGGACACAGATCAGTCTGGCCTCGTGGGTAAGAAGTGGCACTGCCAATCCAAAGGCAAGCAGTTCAAATCCATCAATATCTCAGTGGAAGAAGGATGGGTGACATCCTGTCAACATGATTTACAGCCTCTGGAAACCAGCTTGAAGGTCAGCTGTGAGTTGGTTCAGACCTCTCTATCCACTGAGCGCACGTCAACTTCCGGTTCCGCTTGCGAGACGCCAGATTGCGCATGCGCATCTTAAAACTTTCGTTAATATCACAATACTTAAAAAAAAAAAAAGATGCATAGATAAAGCAAATCTAAGATAGAATACAGAGGAATACCTTGGGTAATTCCTTTAGCCATTCTGTAATTTTCCAGTTATTTCAAAATTAAGGCTCAGTGTAAAAATAAAAAAAAATTGCAAAGCAACTCAGATAATATTACAACAAAATATCTTGCTCATAGCACTGAAATGAAACAAACCTAAATGCTAGAGTTACAGACAGCTGTGCTATATTCAAACTACTGCCCATAAGTTACATGGGTAGAAAGTAAGCTATTTGTCCATCTGACAGTTTGCGATTTATTATCTTGGAAAGCACAGGTTGTTAGTGGTTTTGAGTCACTTACAATGTAGAAATAAAGCTTTTCCCAGAAAATCCATCAAAAAGAGAATGAATACAAGCACATATTCAAATGGTAAAAGAAAATATTACCCATCTCAAAGTCCAGATAAATACCTACACCTTGAGGTTTTTCTGTTAACACAAGTGTGACTGAAACAGAGCCTTGACAACATACACGTTTGCAATGCTGAATTGGCCGGTATCCGTTCTGCACTACTGGATGTGGATTTTCCTTCCTGGAAAGATTCCAGGCAAACCTCCATCATCCACTCAGGGTTGTCACCCACTTTGACTTCTCAGTTATGTCTGCCTGAATTGAAGGCTTCAGATCCCAGAATTACCGGTAGTTGTTCTTGTTATGTGTCATTGAGTCGCTTGAGACTCAAAACAACTGTATGTACAACAGCCCTAAACCCTGTTCTATCTTGAGCCAACCTTACTGTCTCTGACACACCTACCCCCATTACCCTAGTCACTCAGTAAATCCATCTCATTCAGGGTCTTCCTATCTTGAACTGGTCCTCCACCCTTCCAAACATGATGTCCCTCTCCAAAGACCGGTCTCTCCTTGCAACAGTTTTGGGGCACAAAACTGTGAGACAGAGCTTCAAAACCCTTGCCTCCAAGAAGCAGACAGGTTTCTCCTTCTCCAAAACAAATCTGTTTGTTCTCATAGCAGCCCATGGTATATTCAATACTCTTCCCAGCAAAACAGCTCAAAGGCATCAACTCTCTTACTATCCCTAGTCCTTGTCCAGCTTTCTGGTACATAGCATGTAATTGCGAAGACCATGGCCTGGATCAGGTGCACCTTTTGTCCAAACTGACATCATTGCTCTTCAGTGTTCTGGGGGTCCCTGATAGATTTTCCCAGTGCAGTGCATCTTTTGATTTCCTGGAAGCTGGTACCAAGTGTGTTAATAGTGGAGCCAAGCAAACTGAAGCTGTTAACAATCTCAATCTCTTCACCGTCATCATGATGCTGAAGTATCATGAGGAGTCAAGACAATCCATGTTGGAGTCATCATGAGTGTGGAGTATGACAGTTTGTTGTGGGAAGTGCTAAATCCCTTCAGAGTAAGAGGAAGTCTTTTCTTTCACATCACAAATGTTACAGTCTTTTTGCCCTCAGAAACAAAGCCGGTTGGAATGTGCTGTTTCAGAATCCAAACTTACATCTCTTTCAAATATTTTTTTTTCTTCAGGGATACAGTGGGGGAAAGTGGCATCCGATCTCCTTTATCTGAATGAAAGAGGGAGATCAAGGGGTGTGGTTCTCACTACGTCATAGATCCTCTTGACGTATGTCAGCAATTCCAAAATTCTTCAGCATCACTCTCTTTTATGCCATTTCAAAGTTTAGACTTTGAAGTGTTACTTGAAAACACTGCATTGTCTGCATATATTTTTTGTTGAATGTCCTTCTTTTCATCAGCTAACCTAGAGTGGCAAGCTTGATTCTGCCAGTCTAAAGAGTGGTTCACCTCTTCCTTTTCACAGCGTCATTTATGCCTTACCTTTGCAATCCTCACCTTTTTTCCCCCTTCTCTCTTGAGGGTCACGTGAGTTTGCATAGCTTTCCAATTAATTAATCAGGGAATAAATGTAACTGGAACAACACATCAGCAGAGAATTGCCAGAAGTCCAGGCTGGGTCATGGTACTAGGGATATTGTAGCTAATGTTAGATGGATCTTAGCTGAAAGCAGGGAATACCAGAGAAATGTATATCTGTGTTTCATTGACTATGCAAAGATGTTTGTGTGGATCATAACAAACTGTGGCTGACTCTGAAAAGAATGGGAATACCAGAACACTTGATCATGCTAATGTGAAACCTATACTTGGACCAAGAGGCAGTCATCAGAACAGAGCAAGAAAACACTGCATGGTTCAAAATTGGGAAGGGCATACAACAGGGATGCATCCTATCTCCATACCTTATACCTTTTCAAACTGTATGCAGAACAGATTATCTGGGAGGCTGGGCTCTATGAGAAGAAATGTGGGGTCAAGATTGGTGGAAGATCTATCGACAATCTGTATTATACAGATGACACAACCCTGCTAGCTGAAACTGAGGAGGACCTTAAGCACTTGCTGCAGAGGGTCAAGGATTGCAGCTTCCAATATGGATTGAGGATCAATGTCAAGAAGACAAAGATTCTCACACACTGGGCCAATTGGCAGCATCAGGATGGATGGTGAAGAGATTGAGATTGTTTACAGCTTTCGTTTGCTTGGCTTCACGGTCAATACTCTCGACACCAGTAGCCAGGAAATTAAAAGATGTATTGCCATGGGAAAGTCTGCTATTAGGGACCTCTCCTGTTGAGGCCTGGCTTGTAAAAGCTAATCTTCTAAACAAGATTAGCCCTGTACCAAAAGACCAACAAGACTAACTCCATCTCAGCTATAGTATCTGCTTGATAGAAAACAACTCAAGGAAGCAGGATGTCAAAAAGTGAGCCATACTGCAGCCATTTTAAGCAAGTGGCCATTTTTGCCAGGTTCAAATGTGCAGATCTTTGAAAGGGAGCAAAAACAAGTTTAACCGTTCCTTGAACCCCAAGGCCAAGCAGGAATGTTCAGTATGGTATAGTCCTCCCTAAAGTCTCTGTTCCGATGGCCTTGCTTGCTAATTGGAAGCCTTGCTTTCAGGTGGCGGGGATATGATATCAAAACAAATGTATTGTTGGATTTGAAGCTGAACTATTTTTCTGTTCACTGCAAAAAGGCACAGGATTTCAGGAATAAACTCTGCTATCCACCATCACAGGTATCTCTGTGTCTTCATTTAATCCTCGTCCCTTCTCTCAACAGAACTGCTCGATATGATGAGGCAGGACCTCATTACTCTCCAAAGTACTGAAGACCAATGGTGTCTCTCTGGAGACTAAGGTGTGTCTAATACAGGCCATGGTCTTTGCAATCACTTGTCATGTATCAGAGTTGGACAATGACTAGGGAGGATAGAAGGAGAATTGATGCCTTTGAGCTGTGGTGCTGGAGAAGAGTATTGAGAGTACCACGGACTGCTAGGAAAACAAAGAGATTCATCCTGGAGAGGGTTAAACTGGGCTGCTCCTTGGAGGCAAGGATTATGAAGCTCTGTCTAACATAATTCGGATATGTTGTAAGGAGATACAGGTCCTTGGAGGGTGGAGGGACAGCGCAGGAGGGGCAGGCCCTCTATGAGGTGGATTGATTCAGTGACTGGGGTAATCGGGATGGGTGTGTCAGAGACGGTGTGATTAGGGCTGTTGTGCATAGGGTCACTATGAGTCGCAAGCAACTCGATGGCACATGACAACAACAAATGTAAACCGTGAGCCACTTATGTGATGTGACGCAATCTCCTCTAGGGACTTCACGTGGTGACGCAGGCTGTCCTTGATGCAGAGGTTACACAGCACCTTGTGGTAGTGTTCAGGATGTGATCGTGTCTTTTGTGCTGTGCATTGAGATGTCACCTTCTTTCTCCTTGCCATGCTGCTGTGTGTCCCGGCCTGCGGGGATCTTCAATGGTGACCCTAGGAGGGGAAGAATGAGAATGAGGGGACAGGAAGCACAGAAGTGTGGAGACAAGTAGAATTTCAGATCAAGTCTAGATTTTATTGAAAGCACTCACAGCTTATATACAGGCGCACAATGGGGGGAGTGGAAAGGAGAAGTAAGGTTACTTAGCAGGGCGTTCCCAGTAAACTGAAACCTATGCTCCCAGGGTGGGTTAAACCAAAACCTAAACTCCTAGGGAGGGGCAACATGTCCATTCATGTTCTTAGAGAATTACAAAATGGCTTCAGCTAGGTAGAACAAGCGGCTCCCAGCAGCTGTGGTATTTCTCAGCAACGTATTTCTCAGCTGATTGTTGTTCTTTAACATTTATCTTGACATTGTTGGTGACACACAGAGCAGGGTAAACTGTCATATGTATCCTTCCGTTACTGTTGGATGGATGCAGGATCAACAGAAGGTGTACCCACACTTGGTGGTGACAAGCTTTCTCAGGGAATCCAGGCAGACTGGGCATTTGGCCTCTGCCATTGTTTTCAGGACTTAGAGAATTTTTTTTTTCAAGACAGTTGGGATGTGCAAGTATTTCTTTTATGTGCTATGAGGTCACTGATCCTATCCTGCAGGATGAAGAACAGTAACACTGTTCACAATCAGTTATGGATTCAGTTCTTTGGTGGCTCCCAGGGTGTGATTCTTAGCTAAGCAATTTTATTAGTCAGAAATCAATATGAACCTCAAACCGATGATAAATTCCTGTAAATGAGAAAAATCACTTCATTAGTCCAGAAAATTCAGAACACCAAGAGTACTGTCCTTTGTCTCCAACTCATTTGGCAAACCCATAAAAGGAAGAGACAGTGAGTTAGTG